AGGGAAATAAAACTTCACAGCCTAAGCCAGCAAGGGAACAGCTGTGGATGGGGGACATTCTTCTGGGCCTTCTCACTCTCGAGCTCCTGGGCCTGAAAGGGAATCAGGTTATAAATGTGACTTTAAAATGTATTAAGTAGTACAGACGGTAGGGGAACCTTAGGCGTGAGCAACAGGCAATGAAACAGCAGACAGAAGATGATGCCTGTTAGGGGTGTTCCGGACTGCTCAGCCCCAGGCTGCAGCCAGCCGCCCCCAGCTGTGTGGCGCTGCAGCTCCCAGCAGCACGGTGCCATCGCGCACATCCCAGCACACATCCCGGCAGCTCAGTGCCCTGATGCTGGGCACAGCAGCCCGCACTCAGCGCTCACGCTGACTTCTCCATGGAGCACAGCTGCTGCCCTGCCAAACTGCTGCTTTCCAGCTAATAAAATTGCCTCCCAGCTGATAACAGCCTGGCAATATAAAATACTCGGTTGTTAACCGCTGTTGTGACAAATAATACCATTCCACTGACAACTCTGTTTTTTCCAATACAAACCTACTTGAACTATTTATTATTGACAAAGGGCACTGCTCTGCCATTATCCAATTTTAAAAAACACAAAATAAACAGCAGTAGCAAACCTGCCAGCACTCTCTCTGCTTTAGCAAGCTAAATCAAACCCCTCTCACTGCCGGCAGTCCCATCAGATCCTGGAACATCACCTTCATGCGACCACGGCAAGATGCAGCTCCTGCCTCGTTGGCTTTTCAACTACAGACCAGTGTCAGCAATGGCCTTCTCCAAACTTGTTCTTCTCAGACTGCCCCGACGTTCCTTTGTGCGGTGACTGCTGAGCACACCTCTGAAACATCACAACAGCACAGCTCACGCGTCACATTACACACCAGAGAGCTGCATCCCTGGTGGTGAAGATGTAACATTTACTGCCTGTCTTGCCAACTACACAGCCTGCTGCTGGTACTGCACCCTCAGACTCCATTTTGCCAACGTTATCTAAGAAACCCAGCGGTACATGGATATTCCCAACCAAAGTGCTGTTTGTTCATGCAAAAAGACACACAGGTGCACTCAGCTTTCTTCATATCTACTTCAGCTTTTCATTCACAAACGAGTCACCTTGTAGCAACATCTCAAGCAGCTTTAGGCACAACAGCCACATTCATCAGAACGACTTAGAATGCCCCTTTCATTACATTTAGTCACTTTGTTTTTTAGTATTTTCTCATCTGTAAATTGAATACATTAGAGAAGTTGAAACAATACTCAAAGTTCTGCAAGGACACCATGCAGGCTGTCACAGAATGGGCCTGAGCTGTTTGTCCCATCCCTCTGGAGAACAAGGGCGAACTACTCAAAGGAGGAGACTCCAATAGATTGCATTGCCACCCTTCAGAACCAGCCCAGCATAGCTCAGTTCTGCCCTACGCACTGAGGTGATGCTGCTGCAGTCTGTGCTTTTGTCCAGTTCAAGAATTACTCCATAGTGCGCACACAAAAGAAGATATTTGACCTCACTTGTCCCCAAGGAGTCTAATTTGCCCAGATATTGAAGTGCTAGTGATGTGTATTTAATGAGAATTCTTTTTGCGTGTTTATTATCCAGTGACATTTAGGAGGTCAGCCTGGTAACTCAGTTACAGCACTCTGTTCTGCTCCTTTATTTAAGGCAGAGGGAAATGTGAGCGACCCAGGATGCATTTATCTATAAACAGCAGCAGCAGCGTGTGAGCTCACAGTCGGTCTCATGAAAAGCACAGGGGGAGCGAAGGAGACCCAGGCAGTAGGGGCCTGGGAGGTACAACAGAACAGATTTCCCTTTCAGGCTGCACTGTGCAAAGCGCATCCATCAAACACACAAGCTGCCCTGGCTGCTTCTCCTGCCAGCAAACACAGCCACTCACATTCTGACGAATCCTGGAGAGCCCCAGACCCAAACGCAGTGAAAGCTAACCCCAACTCAGCTACAGCTCTCCAGCAAGGCCCAGCTCCCTATCCTCAAGGAACTGTGCTTCTGTTCCCATCTCTGCAGCACAACAAAACACACCTGCTGCTTCTCAGCCCCAGTGGAAGCCAAGTAACTGCACCACTCCTGACATGGCCTCCAGCCTCAGCTGGGTGTTCCAAGCACCACCAGGAGCTGCTCCCAGATGGGATAACAGCATACCCAACCCTGCTCTGCAGTCCCCCACACCAGGCCCAGGCAGGAGCAGCCCTCCTTTGCTGCAGACATGAAAGGCTGTGGAGGGAGAGGCAGGAGAGAGGCATGAAGCAAAGACTTACTTTCTTCCTTGCTGTGAACATTTCATCTTTGCATAACACATGAGTTTCTCTGTGTCCTTCCTAGAGCACTCCAAGCATAATGAAGCACAGTTTCTTGTTTGACACTCCCATCTTTGTTTATTTTATTTAAATATTTCACTTCAGAGCTTTGTGGCTGGAGATCAAACAAATAAAAGGGAATTTGGAAGCTGTACCATCTGATCTGCATTCTGGTCAGAAGTTAAACTAAAAATTGCCTTCAGCCAATGCACAGCACTCATTTTGGAGACCATTTGGCAGCACATACAAGCGCTGCTCCCTAAGTAATGCCTCCTGTTTTATTACACTGGCCCACGAGATCAGAGGTGGGTGGCGTTGGTGTGGCAGTAAAGGCTGAACCTTCCCACCAGCATTGCTTTACACACTGTTGCTGTGTGACAGATAGCAGCAGAGAGGCACTCTGAATGGCATCCGAGATGGGAGCATGGATGAAGCAAAGGAGTGACACTGCGGTCCTCCAGGCGGAAAAAACTGCACCCACTGACATCCCTGATGTCTACTGAATGCTTACAGAGACCACACGGTGGTGTGAGCACAGTGAGGGGTGGGTGGTAAGTTCCAGCAGCAGCAACAGTGTGTCACCTCCATTGACACAGCTCTAGTTCACTGCTGGCTACAACGCACAGCTAAGGGCGCTGACTCTGTTGAACCACAGGTTTGTAGCTGAGAACGTGCTCTATCAAAGAGTGTAATTGTGCTCTTTGTATCTATTGTAGCTTTTATGGAAATAAATAGGAGGCATTACTTTCAGAGTGACCTAATGCAGCCAGTTTACCCCCTGGAAGGGCAGTATAAAATAAACTACTTGTTTGTCCTTCCACTATCAGATAACAAAGACTGACTCCTGAATTCGGTGCCTTGCTCACGTTTATGAGATGTGGAATTGCTGTTTGCTATTTAATCTCAGCACCAGCACACAGGAGATGAACCTGCTCCTCCTCCTGGACACAGCTCAGCAATGCCCACACTGCTATGCACAAAGAACACTTCCCAAGTTGCTGCGCCAGACTTTCTCCCTACAGCAAAAGATTAAACCTGCGTACAAGTATTTAAATTGAAAGTTGTATTTTTCCTTTCATTTAGAAGCACTCATTCTCTTATGGCACAAAATGCAACAAGTTTACCAGCAGACTCTGCCTCCCTCAGGAAGTGCTGTGTTTCCACGTCAGCCTGCCTTACTGGCAGAGGGGCAGTGATCTTTTCCAGTCGCACGCAATCACAGCACTGAGGTTTTATACTGTAGCTTCAACAGAGAAGGCTATTTGAGCAGGCAGTATTCCTGGCACAGTGGGCAGCCTGTCGCCTCAGATCTGTTCCCTTGCACACTGTGACATTACTGATCACTATTGTTTCTTAAACACAGTATCAGAGTACTTCTCCCACACTATGGGTTTTCCATTTATGGCCTGGTCCATCAGGTGGGACTCTGCTCTTTAAGGCATCTCGTTGACAGACATTTGACAGACACATTTATTCTGATCATTCATGCTTCAGTCCAACAAGATGATGCAAAGAATCACCTTCCCCACACGGCATGCATGCTGCTGAAGCCAACAAGAGCACACCTGAAAGCAGCATTTTGTCTATAATCGTGTTGAAATACAGCACAGAGAGGCCCTACTTTGCTGCACTGAACATACCAGGAAGGGCTCTGCTGCAATGGAAACAGAATTAGATCTCAATTAATTGGGGACATGGCAGCCAGTGCCACACCATCAGCTTCAGCAGTGTGTTCATCACCAACAGCACACCCAGTGCTTGAGCCCACTTCTGCTTTTGTGCAGAGGAAACATCCCTGCGTACAACAAAAGAACTTACAAATGCTGAAGGCTTCTGAGTAACCACATTACACGATTCAGTCACTACACACAGACGTGCAGCACTGATCTGTCACTGAGCTCAGGCTCAGAGGTGCTGTACACTCATGCCAGGCTCAGCCAGGACAGCACCGGGCCCTGCAGCCCCACCTGAGTCGACACCTGGTTTCACCCCACGGTCCTCTCTGTGGAAAACACACTACACTACAAAAAGACACTGCTTTCACAGAGCACCACAGCAAAAACCTAAAAGGAGTCTCCTCCCCAAGCAGAGGACAGCAGATGCTGCTCTACACCTTACCTTGCTGCCCCGACTGAGAGCCTGGCACTGTGCTTTCCCGGAGCAGCAGCAGCGCCAGCAATGCCGGCAGCACCGCACAGCAGGCGGCTCCAGCTTTGCCGCTGCGCAGCCGGCAGCATGGCTCCCCACCTGGGAATTCCCACAAAACGCTTTCCCACATCCTGCTATCTCGTTCACAGCTTCTTATCTCTCCGTTACCGCCACCGCCGGCCGTAACACCTGCATTTTATTTTCGGCATTCAGTGCAGTCCAGAAACGTACGGCCGGCAGCGGCAGCAGCACCGCCCGGTGCGCACGAGCCGCCAGCCGGGCCGCTTTGCCTCGCACGTGTCACCGCAACACACGACTCCTGCGTGAGGAAGAGACCGAGTTCTTCGGGCACAGCGCGAAGGACCGCGGTCCCCTACAGCCGCAACCAGCACCGACACGGCGCGCCCCCACGCACCGTCACCGCACCGCCGCCTCCGGCGCTCACCCCGCAGCGGATCCGGGGGGGCTGAGCTCGCGGCCGTCCCACGCCCCGGCCTCCCGCCCCTCCGCGCAGCCCCGCGCCTACCTGAGCCGTGCTGCTGCTGCAGGATAGCGGTCCGCCCCCGGCCCTGCCCCTGTCCGGGCGGCGGCGAGGCCGAGGCGGCGGTGGCGGCGGAGGGTCCCCGCTCTCCGGGGGGCGGTGGCGGACGCTTGCCGGGCCCGGGGCCGGGCGGCGGCGTGGCTCTACCAGAGGGGCCGTGGCGGCGAGGGGCCGCCCCGCTCTGGATATGGGACACCGCCTCGGCCGCCTGCACATCGGGCGGAGCGAAGCGGGACAGGACGCGCAGCAGCGCCTGGGCCTTGTGCTCCTGCGTCTCGTCGTCGCTGTAGTCCGCCACGCGGCACTCGTAGACGCCCTCGTCCTGCCGCCGCACGCCCGACAGCCGCAGCCGGTGCGAGATGTCGTTGCCCTGCACGCGGACCGTCTGCAAAAGAACGGAGCCTCAGCCGCGGGGCCGGCCCCGCCCCTCTTCTCCCCCCTTTCCCCCTCACCCCCACCCTCACCGCTCGCAGAGCCGTCCGGCCCCGCGCTTGGGCGGCAGTAGCAGCCGCCGGGAGGCCCCCCCCAGCCCCAACATCCCCTCCCCGAACCCCCCCGCCCGCAGGGAGCGGCCGCCACACCGTGGCTGCACCGTGCGGTGCCGGCAGTGGGGTCGGGGCGAGACGGGGTGCGCGCCGCGCCCGCTGCACTTACGCTGATCTTGGTCGCGTCCTTGTTCGCCGCCTGAGGAATAGAAACAAGAGATCAGAGCCCGTCCCGGCGGCACGCGGAGCGGCGCTCCCTCCCACCCCGTTACTCGGACGAGTAGATCCCCGCCCATGGCACGGGGGAAGACGAAGCCCGGCCCGCCTCGGCGGCACGCACTGCACCCTCGGCGGCACCGCCCAGCGCCCACGGGCAGCTCCCGGCACCGCGCTGCGAAACGCGCCGCCTACGGCAGCGCCGACCCGCAGCCCGGACCCGCTGCTCGCACCACAGTCTTTACCGTCCGCCGTTGGGCTGTCCCCGCTAAGTGCTGTAAAACTCGAGCGATGTCACAGCTCTCGCCGATGTACCATCAGCTCCGCGCGCACCCCGCCATCATTTCTGGCGAAAGCGACTCGCGGCTTTTCTACGAGGTTAAATCCAAGCGATTTATCTCCCTGTCTGACAACTGAGTTACACTTTCCCCATCCAGGCGGCACCGCAGTAGCTCAGCGCCTATAGCTGCGCATCTCGATCGGAGCGCTGCAGGAAAACGAGCGGTACCCGAGCCGGGAGCGGAGCGTTCCCCGGCCGCACCCCGCCGGCACCGCCCGGGGCATCGTACCGGAACGGGGGCTGCGGGGCGATCCAGCCGTTCCGGGGAAACGCGGCGGAGCGTTCAGAACGGCGCCCGCCCCCGAGCCTGGATGCTCGCTAGGGGGAGGGAACTCGCAAGATTTAACGCTACTTCATGCATTTTAATTTCTACACCCGACTGCGTGAAAACGGCTGGCCGAGCTCCACACGCAGGTGTACGCGCGCACCCCGCTCAGCGCTCATCGGCACAGCGCTGCCCCGCGCCGCTCCCGCAGCTGCCGGCGGAGCTCTCAGCCCGCGAGGATGCCCCCCTCAGCGCGCTGCCCGAGCCTCCAACCCCAGCTATTCTCCGGCCACCTCGCTCGAGCCCTTGCTCGCGGTTTCGCATCCGGACTCTAAGCATTTTCTAGTTACAGCCCTAAAGACGCTGTCCTTATATTCCTATGGCGAATTTCCCCCTTCCCCGGAGGCCGCGCTGCCCCCTGTTTCCAGCCGCCTCCGTGCCCGCCGGCTCTCTCCCGGCCACGTCCCCCTTACCTTGCTCCTGCCACCAGGGATGCTGACAGCCAGTTCGTGTGCGAGTTCTCGGGCCGGTTCCTTGAGGTACCACCACTGGATTTCCAAGGAATAAGAGGTGGATCCGCTGGCTCGGAAAGCGCAAGGCATCTCGATGTCGTCTCCCTCCCTAACAGTCACATCTTTGGGAACTTCGGTGAAGGTGGCTGGGAGGGGAACACAGAGTTACGAAGCCGGTTAGCGGGGAGCGGGCTCCGAGCGCAGCGGGCAGCGCGCTGCAGCCGGACCGGGCCGCACCGACCCGCAGCTGCCCGCCGCGGGGCTCCGCGCCGGAACAGCCCCGCTGCGCCCCAGCAGAGCCCCGGGAGCGCCGAGCCCCCACTCACCGGTGACGCCGAGCAGCAGCGGCGCGTGCAGCACCAGGGAGCAGAGCGTGCAGAGCAGCCCCCGATTTTCCATCGCATCGATGGGGCCGCGGCGGGCGCGCCTCAATCCATCGCACGCCGCGGGGCCCGGCGTCTCCCCGACAGCCAAAGCCGCCCGGCAGCCCCGCGTCCGCGGGAAGCTACTGTAACATCCGCGGCCGGCAGCCGCACTCAACGGGAGGAAGCGGCGTTCCTGGGAATTAAAAGAATCCCGTCCCGGCGATCCGCTCGGCGGCGAGCGGGTTCAGCTGCCCTGCGCCGAAGAGGGGCTCGCTCCGTCCAGAAGCGCGCAGGCGACGCCAGGCTCCCCTCCGAGCCCCATCCCAGTGACGCTGCGCGGCGGCACAGCCGAGCCTCGCTCCGCACCCGCACGGACCCGCGGCGCCGAGCTCTGCCCCCGCGCGGCGGCTCCGCGTCCGGCCCGCGCCTCCCCGCCCCGCCCCGCGTGTCCCCGCCCCGCCCGGCCCCGCGCTCCCTGGGAAGGACCGCCCGGAGGAGCGCGGAGCTGCGTGCCGGCAGCCTGTGCTCCTCCGGGCTGGTGGCTCCCTGCCTGTCAGGCATCCTAAATCCCTATGTTGATTACTGGTTAAAACGCATTAAGGAAAAACAAAAAACAAAACAAAGCAAACAAAAAAAACAAACCAAAAAAACCCCCCAACAACCAGCAACTAACTCTATTGATTTAGAGTAGCGTCGTAAAAAGAAAATGCTTCTGCGGATCAGCTGTTTCTTAGGCAAACATCCCAGTTAAGAAGCAGAAATGGTCACAAGTCACAGCAGCAAAGTCATTGCAATGAGTTACTGCCCCAGCACAGACTGATAGCTGCACTAAGTAATGAGGAGAGGCTGTATTTTAATAAATCTAAGGCGCCTCGCTACCATCTTTGGCTTTATTTCTCCTCTGAAGTTCCATTTGAAGGCACCATCCTGTTCAGCCACAGCTCCATTTCATCATCGTGGCACACAGAGTGGATTTAATGACCCGCAGAACATTTTCTTTCTACTTTTAAAGCTGGACATGTGATGAGTTCTACGGACCTGATTATCGGGACGCGCCTGTTTGAGAGTCACTTCATGGTGCTCATTGGGCGCTGGAAGCACCCAACCACCCACCTCCCTGCAGCACCCGCCTGCAGTGTGGATGGGATCCCAGGGCTGCATCAATCCATATTCCTAATGGATTTTTTTTCTTTCTTCAGACTACTATCTGCCATTTCCACTGATTATATCAGGATTTAAACCCTGCAGTGGTCTCCTGCTAGGTCTGTGGTACGATGCAGCTCCTTTCCAGGCTCCCCCTGGAGCCTGACCCCTGCCAGGAGCAGAGCCCAGCACTCAGGCAGCACACTCAGTCCCAGCCAACCATAAGGGCCTTTACTGCAGTAATTATCAAACACCACTTCATCAAATAACCCAACAATCACTTCTGCTTTGCCTTCTGCCCAAAAGCTCATCACGCTCCATACATAAATGAGCATCATCATTTCTTTCCACACAAAGCCAGCCTTAAGCCACACAGCACCGCAGGGAGCTCCGTGAGCAGCTCATCGCCTACCTGGTGTGCAGCGGTGTCTCCAGGGAGCGAAGCTGGGTGGTGGTTTGCAGCAGTGCTGTGCTGTGCTGTGCTAGCGGGGCGGCTCTGGGGCAGCAGGCCCTCCTCAGAAGGCTCAGGGACACCTGGGGACAGACAGACCGCACAGTCAGCACACACAGACCTGCACGCACAGCCAGCCATGGCAGCTCTGGAAGTACGGCGGCCTTAACAAGGAAGGGCTCTTTCTCTGGCCTTCCTGCTACTGAGAATGCAGGGAATCTCTGCTTACCTCCAACCATCACATAATCACAGCAGGTATATGTGAAGTTATGACAAAATGTATTTGGAAACCTTTTACTTAAGTTTTTATTTAAACTGATATTTAAAAATTTCTTCTGGAATTGCAGCACTGAGAAATTTTATGTGGGCTCAGATGGCAGAAATACCAGGCTGATGTTAAGAGGCTTTTGTTTCTTGGATATAAAAAATAAGCAATAAAAATGAAAAGGAAAGGCAAATGCATTTAAGTCAGTTCTATTTTCATAAATCTAAGGTTGTTATTGTGGTAATAGTGTTGCTGAAGTGAAGGCAGTTTCATCTCAAATGTGCCCCTTGGTTTATACCATTAAGCCTTCAGTTCCACAGTATTTACTGGCCACCAAATTTGATTTTCCATGTAGCAGCTGAACACTTGAGCACCGATATCTTTGTATTCAATTAAAGTAAGGAATTAGGAACATGAGTGTGTTTTCCACAGTCTTAACTTAGAGCAATAACAAGGCTCTTTTATGTTCTCATCTTCTACTAAAATTATAATGGGGGACTATGGTGCTCAAAGCTGAATAGCAAGTGTTCTGAGCAAATCATGTTGCTCTCAGGATTGTAACAACGTTTGAAGCCATTTATTGATTCAATCCTGCCAGCAAAAGGGACTTCTGCAGCGCGTAAGCTATCACCTGCCCACGCTCGTGCCCTGAACGGTTGATGAAAGCAGAACACCCCAGTGAGAAACTCCCTTTGCTGGCCCTGCAGCATCGCCCACACCAGCAGTTCTCAGGGAAATGAAGGAAGAATTCAGGTGCTGACAGTGAAGGCCGTGTTTTGTTGATGACTGGTTTTGCCGTAACTGTCACTCAGACACGGCAGTACGCTGTGCAACAGATAGATAACATTATTTTACAGCCAGGCAAACTCAAATTGCTTGCTTTTAAGGAAAAGTCCTGTGGCTTTTTCATAGCTTTCCACTTCCAAATCAGATTTGAGCAGAGAAGACTCTGCTGTAGGACAAGCCAAGACACGGAGCATTCACTTTTGGCCACGTGATCCAAATGGCTCCATGCCTAAGCCCGAGAGAGAGGAGCTGGAGAAGCCCTGACATCCCCTCCTGGCTCCTGAGCACCTTTCTGGGAAGCCAGGCAGCCCGAGGGGCCGCTGGATGGAGCCAGCTGGCTCCTCCCAAAGACACAGCCATCTTTGTCTGCCTTCCCTTCTCCTGCTCTCACACCCGCTCTCAGCCCCAGCTCCTGCTTGGCGAGAGCTGTGGAAGCACGGCCGGTTGCAGGCGATGGCAACCATCAGCAGTGACACCCAGAGCCCTCGGCAGGCACGGCGTCCCAGGGGCTGCTAATGGGAGGCTGCTGCTGGGCCGTGTTTTATGGGGACTTGGGAAATCCCACAAGTGATTCTAGCACTGCGTAATAGCTGACATTTAAGAACAATTCTGCCTGTAACTTTTTAAAATGATGTACAGCCCCATTATTTGAATAACCAAAAGACTTGCTAATGGCTGCTCAGGAGCCTTTATTCATACCCTGCTGTTTGGAGTTACCCTGTTCAAAAACTGAAATGGTGCAGGTCATATTTCTGAAGGAGAAAGTCACAACGATCGTCTTATCTTACACCCAGAAAGCATGTGATGAGACCTTTATTTTGAGTTGGTGCAAAAGCACTCAGTATTCCTACCACATTTAAGCAACATCCATCTTTGCCCTAAATCCTCCAGCAGAATTAAGTCCTGTTCAGTGCTTTATTTGTAGATTTTTGTTAGATTTTCCTTACTATACGGATGTATTTTCATAGTTATGGGGCCCAGCTCTGCTGCTGCTGGCAGAAAGTACATCCTTTTGCAGAGGGCTCTGGGGGGCTCAGGGCAGCACCTCCCCAGGGGTTGCATTGTGCTCACAGAACAGGTGAGGGCCAGAAGTGAGGAATGGACGTAAACAAACAAAGAAAGCAAGAGAGATGCTAAAATGTTCCCACTCTGCTTCCAGCACAGTGACCTTCACTGTGGTGCTTCTGCCTCAGAGTAGCTCATACAATGGACTGGCAGCTGCCAGCCCCGTTGCCTTTAAAATGTCACTGCTTTAACATCAAATCAAGAGGTATAATTGCATTTTTCCTTCCTTCCTCCTCCCTCCCCTCCCTCCCCCAGATTCCAGCTCTGATCAGGCCCAAGCCAATCTGGCAGCGTAGCTGTATTTCTTCAAGAAATTTGGAGAGACCACAAGAGCTGCAGGCTCAAAGGGCCACACTGTGCTCCATGCACATGATGGCTTTCTTCTTTGCCATCCACAGCCGTGGGCTGTACAGGATTATGGGACAGGCAGAAGCTCAGTTTAGGGTCTGAGAAAGAACCAATTGTCCCATGTTAGGAAACTCAGCGTTAAAGCCATCAGCCTGTGTTATTTGTTTTGCTAGGTTTTATTCATTCTTGTACTCTGGACAAGTGACATTTCCCCACAAAAGCTTCATTTTCTGTCCATAAATCTGAGTAAGGTAAAAAACATGTCCCTGCTTTTCAGCTAGGCACAGTTCTTGCTTTATGTAGCAAAAGCATTTTTAATTGCCTTTAGTTTCTACTTTATCTACTCCTCTGATATTCTGTGTTAAAAGATCTGACAGTGTGAGACACTCGTGCAAGGACAAACAGAAAGAGAAGGCAGCGTGCATGCACAGTGCAGCAATCCCAGAAGTGTTTGGGCAGCGCTCTCAGACATAGGGTTAGAGTTTTGGGCAGGAGCTGAATGCAGGGATCCCTGGGGGTCCCTCCCAGCTCAGGATATTCTGTGATCCTGTCATCCTAAAAATTCCACATTTGAGTTAGGCAATAATTTTAGTAAGTGTTTACCAACATCCTGGTACATCACGTTCTCACAGTGATAGAAATAGGGAACTAGAGTCAAAATGTTATGAATAAAGACTAGTTATCCTGCTGGAAAAGAAAGTTAAGGTGCAAGAGAGAACGGCGCTGACTGAGGCAATGCCTTTCCTGCTCGGCTCAGAGAAACCAGCAATCTCTCCCACACTGAAAATGGACGTGTGTATGACCTCAAAGAGCTCCCAGTATTTCAAATGGAGAAAATTCACACAAGAAACCAACAGATCAGACAGGATATGCAGTGATCTCTTAAAAGCTGAGGCCTCAGTTCTGCAAACATTTTGGAGGCACAACACAAATTTGTCAGTAATCTGTCAGCTCCTAATGAGCTGAGATGATGTGATGAACCACTGTACAAGATTTTAAAGAACATTTGTTTTCTATGTGTAACATTGAAGAGTCTGCTTCCTTTTTTACAAGCAGCTGAGATTGCTTTTCCTTTCCTTTTTATCACTCGCACTGCCAGGATCACACCATGCTATGCTCTCTAAGAGTACAAAGCAAAAAAAAAAAAAAAAACACCTGAAAAAATTACAAATTCAATTCACATCTATCCAGTTTTTCAAGAGATACTCAATGGATGACTGAAGAATTAGTATAATTACTGCAACATCACAGATACTAAGCAAATAAGGCCTGATTAACTGGAGGTAGGGAAATGAGTTTTATTTGCTTGAAGTGTATTGATTTGCTTCTTCTTGCCTTTTTAAAAAAGCAATAAGCGCATGATAAATCACTGGAAGAAAAATACGTTGCTGTTAAAAAGCCACCTCTTGCCTGCCTCCTGCCTCCAGCCCAGGGCCGAAGCTCGAGGCACTATGAAAACCTTTTGGATGAAGCAGTGAAGCACGAGGCTTCCTGATGTGGCTGCTGGGCAGCTCGCACCAAGCAGCAGCTCCAGCAGTGAGGACACTGCTCTCCAGGAGTGGGGAAGAGAGCTGTGTGTGCTGAGCCTGCAGGACACACCGTGCTCTCTGCAGGGCTTTGTCTCCTGGCCTCACCATGCTGCTGATCCAGTGTGGGGGAAACAATCAGGACTCAGTTGTGCTCATATTGCCAGGTCCCATTTCAACAACAGTTTAAGATACATTCTATTTTATCTAAAATTACATTTCTCTCTCTTTGTACTGTACATACAACATTCAGCACCTAGAGCTAAAACTCAACTGGATGTTGTACTTTCAATGGCTTGCAAGGATTTCTACATTAAATATGTGTGCAAATGTAGGAGAATACTCCAGATGCAAGTTAATGTAACAGTTAGGGACCTAAGGATGCATCATGCCTGCATTCTATGTCTCACCACAAGTGAGAAAAGGTGCTGATAGTGTGATCCTAGTTAGTTCATTCAGCTAACATGAAGATCTTTGCCAAACCAATGCAACTGGGACACATGCAGAAATCCTGCCAGTTTGTAGCACGGAGAAGAGAACGTGGGAAAAAGAAATATTCAAATAGTGCAAGAATTTCAAGTTTACACACAACACAGAAAATGAGACTGGGCACAAACACTCGTGCTAAGCACACCGTATCTGGGCTGAGCACAGAAGGGCTTCCAAGCACTCAATTCCTTTTCCTTTGAAGCTCAAGACTGTATTTTTATCTTTTAAGGAACTCTCTGCCTAAACCACAAGAACCCATCCACTTATAAAAGAATGCATCACCACTCATTGGAGTCAACAGTTTCAAAAGGCATCCATTAATTTTGGATGCTTCTGGTTTTAGATATCTCCCTTAATGAGCCTAAATGCAAACACGCTTTTAATAATTCTGCCAAAACTAGGCTAATAAGTTGACATCTTCATTTATCAGCTGAAACACCTGAGCTAGTACCATACAGATGAATTAGATCTCTGACTCAATCATTTACACAACTTCTGTTTGTGAAATAAAACCTTTGTGCCAGACTTCCCATCCCATCCCTGTTGACGCCACCTTCATGGTCCCCCCACAGGTGCCAGCTGGCTCAGGGATGCATCACTGCAT